GATGCTTCCTGTGACTATTTACCGACTACTTCAACAAGAAATAATTCTATGTGGGAATTTATCACATACTGTGTCTTTAAGGAGTAGACAAGGCAAACAATGAAAGAGGGTGTACAGCGGTCGATTCTTTCTCCTTTTTTTAGTATTTTTTCACCTTTTTATTGGCATGACACCGGAAACATCATAGAAAATAATCTTTGTAACTTCCAGACTTCCAGTGTTGATCGAGGCCGCGTTTAGACTTCGCAACGTAGCGCGCCGTAGCGCTTGAGTCACTACAATGCGAGGTACTGTCCTATTCTACTATCCTATCCAAAACACTAACGCACAGCCTGGTAATTTTCCATTCTTCTGCACATAAGCAAAACGCTAGCGGCCGCCACTGATACCAGTCTACGGCCGCCCTCCCATCTATAGCACTGGAGTACCATTGCGACGGTAGGCGACGCGCGTCACAAAGACGGCGAAGTTTGAACGCAACCTAGTCCATTCTTGGAACGAGCACGTACTCTACCTCCATTCAGAATAACAGTGACTTGAAAGCGATGATCTGCATAGGCCACATCGCATGACTTGCGCGAGTTATCCGATGCACGACTCAATCTTTATCCCCCCAGACAAGCTAGATACCGATCTGCCGGAACCATTAGAAAGGAGGGCCGGCCCAGGATTTAATTTTGAATGCGCACATAGTAAGTAGTTTCACTTGCCATCACACCACCATCGTACAAACAGGGCACAGCATCGTGTTGTGTGAAATGTCATCCACATCCTCCTCGAGGGAGGGTCTCGGTTCGACTCCCTTTTCCCACATTTTCCAGTATTTCACCCAAAGATTTTCTATCGAGCGGGCGGGGGAAGGGGGTGGGAATACTACACATGAAACAGGAAAACGGGAAAAAACTCTCCCAACGCTGCAAATTTCTCTCAAAGCCACATACGACTCCTCACTCCCAACAACGACCAAATACAACCCCCTCCCCAGCGGAAAAGTAGGGCGCATCACACATGCACCTAATCACTCAGTCCTTACACAATGTCATCATTCAACAGTGGCAGCTCCTTCATGAATAAGGCTTCTGCAATGCACAGCGATGTACGTGTGTTAGACAGGGCAACTCTCATTTTTCATGGCACACCCTTTTATGACCTTAAGGAAATGTGGTACACATTTTCTTAATGTCATAAATGTCAGCTTTTTGCCTGAAAATGAACCCTCTAATCTGCAGTGCTGTAAATGCTAGGCAATACATTATAGTCGTCACGAGTATACTTGCGAAAAATGTGCTAATTAAATACTTTTTTCACTCTTGGAGCTGCTCAAGCAGAATGAACATTGGAAAAGCTTCATTTCTAGGACTGCTGACGAAAAATGTACCAGTAAAAATGAACCTGTATTGTACGAATTCCTTTCAACCTTGTAATGTGCAATGGAGCACTTCTCATCCTTAACGACCTTTTCAATTAGCTTAGACAATGGTCGTAAAAGAAACTATGCGACCGCCCACGTGGAATCACGTGAAAGAGCACGGGACAGGTGTTGAATCCGAAGAACGCACGCACGCCTGGTCAAAGTACATCGCTGATATGAGTGTCATCATCGATTGATAAGGAAGGGTTAAACGAATGTTTGGGTAGTTTCGAAAGTCCCGGGGGTCCAAAAAACACGAGCGACTGATGATCACATTCAAGGAATTTCGAAAATAAGAATTTTCAAAATAATGAAAAAATAGAAAGTAGAAGGAGTAGAAGAAAGATGGGATAGAGAAGAAATTAGAAAAAAAAACTAAGAGGACTGGAATTATGATGAGATCCTATTTTCGTGAGCAAGTGAACAAGAGCAAAGCGGAGAAGGAGAGGAAAACAAGATATGTAACGGATGCCGGCTTTTGAGCCTTGAGGAGTTCGAACTACGTCACCCCTTCGGTCCCCGTAACGGAAAAAAATCACCAGTGCCATCCCACCAAGCCCAAGAGCCCCCTCGCCTCCCTCGCCTCGTACCCTAAACCAAAACCCCGCCCATCTACACCTGAGGAGTCCGTGGCGTTTGGGGTTACCTAGCTTTGAACTTGACTGGAAAATGAATTGCTGACCTGAATCAGGGCACATTACTAGTTGGGACTTTTGGACGAGTCTGTGCGACCCCTCCCGCTCACTGGTTCTCTCCTCATCGAGCTGTAGAGCGAGGGGGGAGAGGGTATATGGCACATGTGAAACGGGAAAACCGCGAAGAAAATATGATCCCCTCACTTCCCCATCCTGCCTACCAGTTTCTTCGTTCCCCAACTTCGGTCCTCAAACGCACTCGGATCAGAGCACGTCCCACCCAGAAAAGAAGTTGCTGTGGAGAGAAGGGAGGGAGGTGGGGTAAAGCCAGTTGAAAAGACAGGTTCCGTTGTTCTGTTTCTTTTTTTTGAGAAAACAACTTGTTTTGGAATTAAACAGGTTCCACATGTCAGAAGTACAAAAATTCAAGGTCGCAGTGCGACCTTGATAAATGTCAAATTCATTTCGTTCTTTGAGATCATTTCCCCCCAAAATCCCCCTACCTGGTAATCGTTATTGATCAAGTATCGATTAGAAACGCCTATAATTTGGTTAAATATCTGGTAACGTCGTACGTAATTATGGTTGTTCAATGCACCATATTTGTATTTTGAGCTCGGGGTTGATGGGTTGATGAAGTAATAGTGATTTGTGAAGCACAGCTTGGAGCTAAACTAGCCACCCACGTTTTTGGAGTGTTTTTTTCAACACGCTTGTTTCTCTCCCTTAGAATAATCTCATGAAACATTTTTATTATGCGACAGTAACCAGAAATTAGGAGTTTTTCTTGAGTAGTTCTCCGAGATCACTCTAGGTGGGGGAGTGGGTTCTTTTATTGGTTCACAGCCCAAATAAGGAATAAAAAAGGAAAAATTATGATTGACTCCGAAAGGAAGGATGATTAACTATGATGGAAAGAATAAAAAAGGAAAATTATGATTGACTACGAAAGAAAGGATGATTAACTATGATGGTCCTTTAGAATTCCTTCAATCCTTCGGAATTCTTATTAATATAAAAATCGCAGGCAAAAGGAAACCCGATATAGAAATTGATCAGGAGCGAGGCCGAAGAATTGATCGGTCTTGAGCAATACGTGACTACATTTAAAAGATAAAAAACTTACATTGTTCACATTGCCTATTTTAACCTGGCGGACGACGGTCCCAGAGAACGTGTAATATCGATAGGAGAGCGCCATTCGAAAGGTGCTTTTGAACTGATGTCTACGAGACGTACGAGTGCTATGGAGCTGGGCGGCGCCGACGACTGATGAACAGTGAACGATCACACGCACTTAGCACGTCTGGTGGCACAGAAAAAACACACGATCACACGTACACTCGATGGTTTAATACTGGTAGAATGATTGATAAAGGAACCCTTGAACTACTGAGGAGCACGGTACGTCCTAGGTATCTTCACAAGGACGGCAAAAGCCCTATCCCGTCATCGTCGCTAAATCCCCGATTTTTTGCATCTTTTGAGTATGTCACGGTTATTGACTTTTTTTTGACAAAAAAAAACTTGCATGAATCAGTCATTTTCTATACCCGTGCTCCCACTGGAATACCCCAGAGTGGGTATATGTCGTCTGACGCCATCATTATGCCATCGAAGTGTCAAAAGTGCCACGCAAACTGTCGTCCAGGTTGAAAGCTCGTCCTGGCGCGTCTCTCCCCTCCCCCAAAATCTACACGTTTTAGGAGGAGCCTCACCCTAGCCTAATTTTAGTGATTGAACGAATATCTACTCGTATCAATCCACTAGATTTAGGGCCTAGATCTGACGGGCCCGTCATCACTAAGCTGTTAAGGCGTGTCAACAGCGACTAGTTCGCTCCAAGCGAACATTCTCTGCTCAGGGTTGAAATTACAGTTCATATTTCAGAGCTTAACGGCACGTCCCACTGACAACTGCGTATTCTCGTGACGACTCTCTCCTCGTTTACGTACGCCACTCCCACCTGGTCCTCCGCCGCCGTCACTGCGCTCGCAGCTACGTACTCGGAAACGCCCCTTTTTGCACTTAGATATGCACTATATAGATGTGGTCAATTTGCATTCTGTCACCATGTGACCTAGACTGAAAAGGCCTCGTGATCATTACGGTAGCAGGTCCATAGAGAGCCGCAAAGAAGCCCGTTAATTCAACGACAAATAATGAAATTACGGTCTCGTGCGCTTCGGATGCTGGGGCGTATCGGTGGGAGGAGGGACTAGGTTTGGCGCGGAAAAATGGGCTGGCGGCGCGCCATAAGTAGCCTCTCCCCCTGACACGCCCCGCATCAACACCGAACAGGACTATATGA